ATTCGCAAAATAGGAAATTATCGATCCCATGTACATATGCTACATATTGCACAGTAATTATCGTATACTGCGGATGGACGTTAAACACCTTTCGGTGTTCCATTTGATAACGTTTTTCCGGTACTTAATAAATCCCCCAAGACCGTGAGGATTATTCTAATGATTTCTAATCCTAACGGAGAGTTTTGGTTAAACGGAGTTTCCTACATCCCTATTGCGATATTTGAATAGGATTAATAACAAACTACTAGGAAATTAGTATTTATGTTTCATCGATAAAACGTGAGTGTTTCATTAACAGGATCTATCTACATGGAATTTAAAGTTCAATTTAATTGACGTTCATTAATTTGTAATCCGCACGAAGGTTCGTTAAATCGACGGAAAAATAATGAACACTAACTAAAAAAAACCAGTCAAATGAAAATATATTTCCGAGCACGTTCGTTCTACATCATCGTTGATGAACGAACTGTCTGAAAATGATCAATTTTCCTGTCTGTTGTATCTATTTCCTGATTGGTCATGAAACTATTAGTTCTCATATTAATTTTTTACATATTCGATTGGTTTACGAAACAATGCATTATAATTAACAACTATAATAGATCATTACGAACGTGCTTAAAATCAAAAATGTAATATATACAATAATAGAAATTTAATTAAAAACGATTGAACAAAATTTACAGCAAAACACGTTTCCTCGATTATTGAAATATTTTTTACCAAATGTTCATTTTTAAATGAACAAAAAAACAACGCGGAACCAATTGCTTTACTTTTACATGCAAAGATTTTTTGTCGTCACAAAAAGATCTCAATCGGCACATTCTCTTATTTTTTTATCACTCACACACACGCATCCTATGGAAACATACTAAATTATAAATCCATACAATATACTCTATCTAAAGCTAGTTAGCTTATATAGGAAGGGTAAATTTTATTTTATGATACTAATTGAATGTATCGATCTAGGAATAAAATCAAGTGAAAATATTTATGCAATTCCATGCGACTGAACAAAGTAATTCTAAGTATGATTAGCAAGAGCTAACATTTTACAGTCTTCGAACTTAATAAAATTCATCGTAAGGTCAACTAAAATTAATTAAATTCCGACGTGAAATTATCAGCTGGAAAAAGACTCAATATAGACAAGGGTAAGACTAACACTCGAGACTTTTCACTTCACCGTACTGTAAGTTCAGCAACAAGTTGCGTTGAGTTTGTTTTCTGCGTCTGCGATTTTGTGGCCCAAACAAATAAAACCAAAGCTAAAGTAAGTAACGAACTGATCTTCGAAAGCAAAACAAAAAAGAAGAAGAGGAAAAACAAAATTTCCGTCAAGTTTGACCAAAAAGACGTTCGCTCTTGCAGCAGACGTTTTGACCCTTTAATCTGAGAAGTCGATTGTACCGCACGTAGGGATCTTGTAATTACTCCCGTGAGTGTCTCCACCCATATCCACACTTCTATCTTTCGAAGAAAGTCTCATGAGTATCAGCAACGTGTGGACAAAAACTACATCTCTCTCTCTCTTTTTCTCTCTTTCTCTCACTCACTCAACGCATATACATATACATATACATACTCTTTGATCACGCTATAGTAGAAAGACGGAAGGGTGAGTCGATGGATGAACGAAGGCTAGAACACGGTAGTTGTAATAGTGGTAGTGATGCTTCTGGCGATAGTGGTGGTGGTGGTAGTGGTGCTGGTGGTGTTGGCGGTACGACGTGACCACCCTCTATATCAAAGGCCTTGGCACTTTGCCACGTCGCACCGCATAATGAAGCAGCACGTTAGGCTTCGGTCGTGCCGGCGCCGACCGTCGTGTTTTGCTTCCCGAAGAATGGTTTATTGTACAGTACGACCCCTTTTCTATCCTTCTCTCCCTCTTCCTCTCTTTTTATTTTTTATTCGTCTTCGTTTATTTACAATTTCGTCATCTGCAACAACTTGCTCTTCGATTTCTTTTTCATTTCAATTTATATAGTATGCGTTGTGCATTTAAAACAGCAAACATGCCTTTCTATTTTTACTAGAAAAATTGGAACTTTTTTTCCAATATTATCAATTGATCGTTAACATTCAACCATATGTTTAATTAATTTGTCCACAGATCATGTTAATAACTCGATAGCCCTACTATATTAAACATAAAACGCCAATTGGCAAAATCGAATCGTAATTCCATCGTGCTTGAATAATACCAGCAATAAAATGTTCTGCGCGATTGGATTTGTTGGAATTCATATGAAATCGCTAATCATTAGTCAATATACGTTTATAGAGTGTAGAATATGGAAATTTGTATAATCGTATTTATGATCAGTTAGAGAGTAATTATGGTTTAACAATAATAAGTATATTCCCATCCTATTGCTGATATATAATTTACAAACGGTTTAATAAACCATTTTGCCATATTTTTTCTTTTCGAAGGATCATCTAGAAAACTTTTAAAACGAATATTTCATAAATTAATCGATCAAATAAACTTCGTTAGTAACTTTAGACTTTTTCTCTTTCCCAATATAACTATGGTCGATTTATTTGAACAAAAAAATACTCGTTTGAAAAGAACACAAACTACAATAGCAATTTTATGCCACCGTAAACTTATTTGTGACGATTTTATTGATGCAATATTTCGTAGGGGTTAGCACTATGCAAACAATAGTCTGTTAGGTTAAGATAAGGGGGTAAACGAGCGAAGAAGCCAACGAAGAGAGTGTGAAAGAGAGAAAAGGAGAAAGTAGGAGAGAAATGAGAAGAACCAGCTTAATGAATCTAAATCTTACGTCGCGTCGTGCGAGATTCCCCTTGCTTCTTCTAAGAGATACGTAGATGAAGAGAAATGAAGATAGAAAGACAGACAGGTGGATTAAACTTTCTCAAAACCTTACTGCTGTGTCTCTGACGATACTCAAAATGCAGACGACGTATTTACCATCTCCTATGACTTTCCTTTATCTTTCCTTTGACAGTCGTAATTATACATAAGACTTTAGCGTTTGTTTTTAACTCAAAGAATCTGTGATATTGCATCAATTGTAGCAAAATATTCCTTTAACCCGTAATCTTGTTTTTTTAATCGATTTTATTTGACAGATCGATTCGATAAATATTTATTTCAAGCTAGGATAAAATGAGCAAATGGTTGAAACTTATAACACAGTAACGAAAATCTTCTAAAAGTATAATAAATGTTTAGAATAACTATATCTGACGTTTTAGATTTGTGATGAGCGTTTGATGCGAGGTCCTGTCTACTTGAGTCTAGTACTCTGATGATTCAGACGAGATAAAAAAAAATGTATAAACTTGATTATCAAAAAGATAAAGTCATGAGAAATGCATAACGTTTAAGATTCAATTGAATCCAATTCTTTCTCGATCTTTAGAAAATCTACTGTCAACAGTAATTACTGAAAGGTTAATTCATACAGATCAGATATCCTGTACCATTCATTTTTAGATTTTTCAAGACAGTTATATTAATTGAATCTTTTGAAACTCAATTAAACATATAAATTCAATTTCAATGACAGTTCTTAATTCTTCCATACTTTCAAATAAAATTAAATAAAAGTCTCGCTCGAGATTTATAAGCTGTAATTTTATGATTATAATTGCTTATTTAAAAATAACCTGTTTAGATAAGTTTATTTTGTAAAATCTTTGTAACAAAAGTTCTATGTATATCTATTTAATCTAAAAATATAATCTACTGATGTTTACAATATGTTATAAAAATATAGTCTAATAAATTGTTCATGTCTATATATATATATGAGTATGTTCGATAAAACATTATTTTTCGTTGGGGAAGTAGGATAAAACATGCGAGAAAATAGATATAACAGTGATCGATAAGTATGAAATTGCACGTATCGTTATATAGCGTCTAGTAGCACAGACGGAATATACTTTGATCTACTTTCTTAGAAATCACCCTTAAGCCAGGTCGTCTAGTGTATCGCTATACGAGATGTAGGTAGGACGTTGTATGGGAAAACAAAGAAGCCGTATGGTATGTTTAGGATGAAAGAATACGAATGAAAAAAAGGAAGAGAGAAAGTGATAGAGATACATACGTTCCGCTTGTACAAACGTAGAAACGAAATTCCCGCTTGTCTACGTATTTCTCTATCCGTGGGTTATATAACCTCTGAACCGAATGTTTCGCGCAGATTACCTGTCAGGATACGTATTTCCCACAGGCGAGAAGATTTTTCCCCTGGGAAAGAAAGAGAAAGAGAAGAAAGAGATAGGAAGAGAGGAGCCAGAAAATCTTTCAATGTGGCAGGCAAGTCCTTTTAGAAACTGAACACATTACTCTTCCCCGTCAGCGTCCTTTTTCGCTTTTAATTTCTCATAAGGAGAATGAGTAGAAGGAGAAGGTAGAGAAGAAGGAAGAAGGAAAAGGATGAAGGTAAATGGGTGATGGTAGAACAAAATGCAAGGCGCGATAAAAGACTCAACAGGAATGGTAGTGCAATATGTGCATGGCGACAGTATCCCGAACAACCGAGAGACTACGTTCCATCTCCTACTCTGCCTCTGATAAAGAATCTTAATTTGTTTTCAACCTTTTCTCTTTTCTCTAGAGAGTCAACTACCGGGCATGATAAACGAAACAGAGAAAAAGAAAGAGAAAGAGTGAGAGAAAGATTAAAGTGTCTGAGAAAATGTTCTATATTTTAATCATTTCTATATATTGTCCCATCATTAAAAACAAAACTTAAGAGCAATGATATTAATTTCAAATGATTACACAAATCAGATGTCCTCGTTAAAAGATTTAAGTTTATCTGGGTACGTTAAAGATCATTTACTAGTATTTGTTTATACATGAATATGAATGAAATATATACAATGCTATACCTTTTTTTTAAACCGATAAGGATATACGTAGCTTGTGATATCAAATTAATTCGATAACCCCTATGAATAGAGTTCATTTATCGTACATTAAAGACGCTGCGGATATTAGATCAGTCAAACAGCAGACATGCAGCTCATCACTTTGAGTCAAATTATTATTATTATTTTTGTTTTTATCACGTAAGTATTTTTATTATCTTATATATATAAAAAAAAAAACTCAATATTACCAAAATATTTGACAATTATGTCGTTGCCAAATGTAAAGAAACACAAATCGAAAAAAAATCATAATAATCTACAATCTCGTTTAAAATGAAAATCTGACTATCTTATTAAAACTAGCTTGCACTTTACTCTCAAACTATTTAATATTAATTAGATTTGGGAAAGATCTAACAGAAAAAGAAAAGACCGCATCGCAAATTAAACTCCTTGAAAAATCAGATTTTATTGAAATTTCAGTACGATCGATGCGCGATAAAATACTTTCTAGTTCGAACAACTTTCTCACTCTCACGCTCTCTTTCTGTCTCTCTCTCTCTCCCTTTTTTCTTTTAGATCCACACAGGGGAACAACTTGTCGGAGGAGAATGAGGAATACCTGAGGTTCCCACCGAACTTTCTCTTGGGTGCTGCGACAGCAGCATATCAAATCGAAGGAGCTTGGAACGTTAGCGGTAGGTCTTTTAAATTCAAATCTGTCAGTCTCCGACTACATCTTCGAAACTTTTCCAACTCGTCTTTCTTCGTTTTTCTCTTTCGTATTTTCTATCCCTTTTTTGCCATACAAAAACATAGACAAAGGAGAAAGTATTTGGGATCGATTCTCTCATGATGGAAATGGTCATATGCTTAATAATGAGACCGGTGATGTCGCCTGTGATTCGTATCATAAATTTAGAGAAGATGTATCTTTATTGAAACAAGTTGGGGTAAGTATATTATTATAAATTTATTGTTACATATAATTGAATAATGAACATTATAAATAACTTTTGTCGAAATCTCCAGAATATAATTATTGTATTTTTTCTTGATTTTTTAATATTGATATTATACTTTACAGGCTGACGCCTATCGTTTCTCGTTAAGCTGGCCACGAATATTGCCAAATGGTTTCTCTAACAAGGTTAGTAAGGATGGTATTACATATTACCATAACCTTATTGATGAGTTGCTGGCTAACGATATCGAACCTATCGTAACACTCTATCACTGGGATCTTCCTCAAGTATTAGAAGATGCTGGAGGATGGTTGAATCCGCTCGTAATTGATTGGTTCGTAGACTATGCTAGAGTTGCTTTCAAAGAATACGCTCCAAAAGTAAAAAAATTCATAACGCTGAACGAACCATCGGACAACTGTATTCATATTTATGCTATGGGAATTCACGCACCCGCTAAATTGTCTTTACATGGGATTGGAGAATATATTTGTGCGGATAACATGTTGAAGGCTCATGCTAGTGTTTATCGAATGTATCAGAATGAATTTAAAAACACCTACAATGGTTCACTGGGTATCAACGCTCATTCAAGGAATTTTTATGCAAAACACGAAAATGATTCAGAATCTGCAGAAATAGCATTTCAATTCGCTGTTGGTTGGATACTTCATCCTATATATTCTGAAAAAGGCGATTATCCTGATATAATGAAGAAAATGATTGCTATAAAGAGTCAACAACAGGGATATCCACGATCTCGATTACCCGAGCTTGACGCTCATTGGATAAATTTTATTCGGTAACTAATTAATATTCAATGTTAGTCAAATATCTATATTTTCATTGATTTTGATAATTGTGTCATTCTTTTAGGGGTACGTCCGATTTTATTGCAGTAAACCATTATACCTCTGTAAGAGTCGAAAAAGGAAATGAAGAATTAGAACCTTCGTTTTTTAACGATCAAGGATTAATACAAGACCAAGATCCTACTTGGGAAGGTACTATTTCTTCATGGCTAAAGGTAAATTTATATCTAATCTAATAAAATTTATAATAGTTTCAATTTTGAAATAATTATATTTTATAGAAAAATGCACGTACTTCTATAAGCCCCATACATCTTATGCTTCTAATGACAATACAAATAATAGGATTTTCTTTAATTTAAAAATAATATTCATATTGAGAACCTAAAATATTCTTTGTGAATAATTGAACAATATGTTATTTATATTTAGATTATTCCAGAAGGATTTGGTATAATTCTAAGAAAAATAGCAGCGGAGTATAACTATCCACTCATGTATATTGCAGAAAATGGTGTCTCCGGTCCAAATACACCTGACGATGATCATAGAGTGACTTATTTTAAAAAATATTTAAAAGAGATGCTTATTTGTATACATCGCGATAAAGTTAATATTAAGGGTTATCTTATATGGTCTTTCCTAGATAGTCTCGAATGGGAACGTGGATATGGGTAAATTAAAATCTTTAAATTGTAATAATTCAACTGTTTGTATTAAATTAATTATTACGAAGTGATTTAAAAATAACACAACTAATACAGCTAATTAGTAATTTAAAAGATTGATTAAAGTTATACTATTTTGCAGTGAACCATTTGGAATCGTTTATGTAAATTTCACCGATCCAGAAAGGAAAAGAACGTTGAAAAAGTCTGCTCATTGGTGGCAAAAAGTAATAAAATACAGAAGTTTGAAAATACCCTCCCATGAAAATGTAAATTCCATAGCTGAACTATAAATCTTAATAAACGAGAGTATATTTTAAAATAACCATAGAATCGAATTTAATGTTTAAAGTGAATCGAAAAAAACAAGAAAATCTATCCTAAAATAATAAAATAAACAATAGAATATATAATTATCATGAGTAACTCCTAGAAAGGAATTACTCATGTGCTCGTCACTAATTTATTGGAACAATTACAACCAGTAACTCGTGCCGATTATGACCTTTCATCCTCGACATGATTGAGCACTGGAGGGACTTTAAATTTTTTTACTCACTCCGTAAGAAGTTCTATGATGGCTCCAAAACACTCCTACTTTGCAGCAAGTATTGAAGAAGATCTATCGAAGATCCATCGATGATCCATCGATGATCCATCGAAGAATTCATTCCACATCTTTGAATAGGTAGAAAATCCGTCGTCATATCTGTAACATAAAATAAAACAAAGCAATAAGTTATCATCAATACAATCCAAAATCATATAAAACAAAAACGAATAAAATTTTAATAAAAATGAATACTTACAATGCATTCCAATGGGATGCAGCTCAATTGCACCATGGCGATGCACCTCGCGTATATCTAAACACGCTGTATTAACGAAAATAAGAAACTATAGATGAGTTTCTTATCGCGAAACCGAAATTAAATTATGCGGCGAACAACACTGACTCAAATTCGCGTTTGACTTTAATTTGTTTTACGCCCGTTCACTGACTCTACAACTAATTCAAAGACTGCTTTGCACACAGTCTATTGAAACAAATAAATTTCACACTTTATTTTAATCCCGAAACGCATTAAATTTAAAATCTTTATTGATGCACTGACTCTAATACGCGAACAGTCTGTGCGACTGTTTAAAGATAAAAATACAACTTTACTCGAACAAACTCTAATGCAATTAMACYGCATTGGTCGCAGTTAATTTAATATATAAATTTCAAAAATAGTTCGCGAACGCGACGGAATTGAAATTAACGAACGAACGTGCTTCTAATCCGTGATTTTAATTATATTTAAACGATACAACACTCCCGTATATTGCTTCGCTCACGATTGCAATGCACGAACACTTGCAACACTTCACGAACACAATTCACAAATACTTTCAACACTGCAATATTACCATGATGATCTGAAATAAAAATAAAAACAACATTATGAATATCATTGTTGTTAGAAAAAATTATTATAATTGCTAAGAAAATGTTTAAAATAAAAAGTGACTTACATTTATTCTTCAGTGATGAATGCACGATGGGTTTCCTACCCTTAGGATGACGATGGGCACACGTTTAAATCGAATAAAAGAAACTTACGGAGTTTCTTTACCCGAGCAAACGAAACTTTAACACACGACGATCAACACTGATTCTACTTTCCGACTTTTTGATATTTTATTTTAACGATGCAACACACGAGTAATTCATTGCCTACGCGCTCGATTGCAATGATGTTCTGAAACAGGAAAAGAAAAAGAACAATTAATGTCATCGTCGTAATAAAACACCATTGAGGTTATTATAGAAATGTTTRATWGAAAAATATACTTACTTTTAGTCTTCATTGATGACTGCAGGATGGGTTTCCTACCCTTAGGATGACGCTGAATAAAATAAAATAAATAAAAAATCTGAAAAGCTGAAGCATACTAAAGATTATAATACAATATTTCCTATAAAACATTTCTGAAGACAGCACACACATTAAAAGTTACTTTATCATAAATATTCAATGTTTAATATAAAAGGAAAATGTAATAATGTATAAGATGTAATGTAATAAAGTAAAAGTTAGTAAATATTTGTGAAATTTATCAAAGTATCAAACTATTCTTTTTATAGTGCTTGCCTTGCATTTTAATGTACAAATTCAAGTAATATCAATTGTCTTAATCTCATTACTTGTATAAAATTATATATAAAGTATGTAATGTTAGTAGAAATTGTTAATAAAAATCTTTCAAGTTGCCTAAATATAACAATAATTGTATCACCAAAGTAAATGAAGAATAAGCTAAAAAATAAACCGTCTGTTATACTGTTCTATGTAATGAAAAACTCTTGAAAATATTTAAATTAACACGAGAACATTATAAATAAAATTATTCAATAGTTTAATACGTTGTCACTGTTACCGATCTTAACTTGCCGAAGGACGGAAGAGGACTGAGCATCTCTCTCTCTCTCTCTCTCTCCGTTTACCTTTGAGAGTAACGCATTTCGACTTATTTTGTTTTTATCTCATTATTAGCTCGAGCAGTGCTGAAAAACACAGAGACATATTAATACGTGTTTATATGCCGAATTTTTTGTTTTCTTATTCTCTTTCTTTCTCTCTCTCTTCCTTTTTCTCCTTCCTCTTTCTTTTTCACATTCTTGTTTTTTTCTCACACTCTTTATATTACAAAAGCCATGTAAACAACATTTAATAAAAAACTTTTTTATATGATAACGTGTCAGTCTAACAGAAGATATCGAAGAGAAAGTTTCATCAAAAGGAACATCCATATTTTTAGATTACAATAGACATTTCCATCGATTATTTAACAATTATTTTAATATTCTAATACACTCTATTTTTATATTTCAGATTGTTTAAAGATATATGTACTAGTATAAGCATTACATATTTATTAACATACGTTAAATATTAAATAATTTCGATGCGATATTCTTTTCGATGAAAACTTCCCCACACCGAAGTCATCACAATACAGGAACGTGAAAACAAATGTAAAATAGTTTAAGCAATTACATAAAAATGTAAAAATGCTAAAATCATCTTAATCAATAATCTTAAATTTACATTCTTGCTTTGTATATCTTCGTTCTTTGTACATTAAAACTTTCGGGTGGAAATCTTAAGGTGAGTGGGGATATTTGAAATGTGTTCTTGAAGAGATATTTTTTTTCAGTTTAATTTTATTACAATCATATTCTGGTGGACATTAACTTGTAGTTCCGTATTCGTTAACTTTCCGAAATTTATTCATCGTTTCTTCGTATATATATTTAACGGAAACAGTCATACATGATATTTTACTAATACCTTCTTACACAATTCAATATTATCAAAGTAATCTCATTTTTTTTTACTGCCTCTCTGGAATGGACAGTCTTTTTTTTCTTCGGACGTGGGTCAACCATCCACTTTACTAATCATGCCCAAGTTGCTTAACTTTAGTAATCTAGTAATCTAGTAAACTAGTAATTCAACGTGGCTAGGCCATTGACCTCCTTATTTGATTTTATATTTAGTTTTAATAGTAAAAATTTAATATATAAAGTTGTATTAAATTAAAGTTAAAGTTGCATTATATTAAAAAGGATTTAAGCAATACCCAAATATTCTTTTAGAATATGATATAATTCGATACTATTGAATTTAAAATAAATGTGATAAAAATATTCTAGTATGAATATCTGCATATATGGTGTTTCTCACTATTTCGTATGTATTAAATACTTCTATTTGTGTTTTATTTCGATAAATATATATATGTTTTATTTATTTGTTTTCTATGTATAAATAGAAACTAATCTGTAATTTCTTATCAACTGTGACTCTTTCTGTCAATCTGACTCTTGTCAACTGTCGTTTTTTTATTTTTCTTATCAACCAACTATACAATATATAAAATAAAAATATTTTATCTAATTGTTACTGCGTATTTATTCCAATGACCTAAAAACTTATATTACGATAACTGATTCAATTGAAGATATCTATTTATGAATATATTTTTTTTCTAATAATTATTTAGTTTTTATCACTGTTAATAAAAAATAGATAGCAATTCATTAAGCTTTTGTTTTATTAATTACAAATTACTTAGAATAAGTATTTATTTTATTTAAAAGCTTATCCATTGCTATTGTTTTACAGATAATAGTTTTGTATATTGTGATTGATGTAAATTTGTAATTTTCTAAATTCAATAAAATATATTTGTACTATTAGTTTAAATATTAATTATATGTATTTGCAGTTTATATTATACAGCGTGAAGCAGCTTATTTAATTTACCTCGGATAACTTTTGTTAATTGAGCATTAAATAAAAATTATTTTTCCAGATGATATGAAAAAGACCATAATGTAATGTACATGACTTCTTTATGAGAGGTGTCTAGAAGATTTAAAAGTCAATTTGGTTTTTCTACATTCAATGTCTTATTTTTTAATGGTAGTTAGAAAGAGCAATAAGTTCAAATTAAACATTAATTAAAAATTGCTTGACGTAAAGCTAATTATTAATGAGATATTATTAAAAGTTTGATCAGCATAAGATCATTTTAAAAGAATAACGTCACCTGTTTATGACGATGTTTATTTCGTAATGTTTCTCAACATTTCACTTATATTTACTTCAATGTTGCTGTTAACGATTTTCGTTAAAAATTTGTTAGGAAATAAAACGATGAAAGTGGAATAAGAAACTAATGAAATCGTTTATATTGAATAGTTTAATCTTTATTAAGTGTCTTATTATCGAAGTTCAAATTTAAATGTTATTCAAGATAAGCAAGTTCAGTGTTTCACACTGTATTATTTTAAAATCCATTACATTACATCCCTTTTAAATATTACGTAACATCTGTACAAATAACAATTTGTGTAATGTACAATTTAAATGTTATTTGAAATAATCAAATTCGGTGCATTACACAGTACTATTTTAAAATGATTATTAACATTCTTTGATAGCTAAAACGATATGGAAAGTACTGTGATAACACTGACATATATATAACTTAAGATATAAATCCTATACAAGTAGTATTACTTAGTCGTCGGTTGACCAATGATCGACATAATGGCTACTGTATATTCTTCTTTATTGAAAGCAGCGATACACACGCTGCTAGTAACGATGTAAGAGTTGATTTTTTATATACATAACATATATACTATTGATAAATTATGTAAATTAATTATGTTTAACTATAATTTTAGATTAATTTGGAAAGAGACTCAAGCTCTCACGTATACAAAATTCCCTGAAGGATTTCAATTTGGAGTCGCTACGTCGGCTTATCAAATTGAAGGAGCCTGGAACATTGATGGTATTGTGAAATGGTTTATCACTATATTAAATATGTAAAAATTCGTGAGAAGGTTGACCGAAGGGCCTGGATAGTGTAATGATTTAAAGAAATTGCACGGGAGAAAGGAATTTCTGGCATTGAATTCCAGTGTAAACTACTGAAAGAGACCTAAACTTTATTGAGAATATTAAAAAGTGTTATCAGAAGTGATAAGTAGTGTTATACAATTGCAAATTATGTAACGGTATGAGAAAAATTGTGTAAATAAGAACCTAGTAAAAAAGAACGACGATGAAAGCGATGTGAGTGGTTGCTTGATGAACTGACAAGACTATTTTGACAAGCCGGCACTTTTGAATTGTTCACAGTTGTGTTTAAAGATGAAATCGATACATATATAGCCCATGAAACTAGCAAGACATTATTACACGTAGTATTTTCGAAAAGTTGTCCTAAAAACGAAGGACTCGAGTTGAAACCTCCCAGATTACCTGGAGGTCTAACTTTTCTCGCGCGAATTTTACAAATAAAGAGTAATGCAAAATTATAAATTAATACGTAAGTAATATTAGATAAATAAATTTTACAGGTAAAGGTATTAATATATGGGATGTGTTTACCCATAACAATGAATGGTTAATAAAGGATCACAGTAATGGTGACGTTGCATGTGATTCTTATCATAAATATAAAGAAGACGTTCAGTTACTCAGCAACATGGGTGTATGTATACAACCAGTTTTTAAATTTAGGCTAAAGAATAATTCACAAAAAAAAAATAATAATTGTTAATTCTAGGTTGACTTTTATCGATTCTCAATTAGCTGGTCTCGTATATTGCCGAACGGTTTGGCAAACGTTGTAAACGAAGATGGACTTAATTATTATAGAAATCTTATTGATGAACTACTGGCAAAGGGTATTACACCATACGTTACAATATTTCATTGGGATCTACCGGAAGATTTAGAAAAATTAGGTGGTTGGACTAACGAGATAATCATTGATTATTTTGTTAACTATTCAAGAATTGTTTTCCAAGAGTTTGGGCAGAAAGTTAAACTTTTCTTTACCATTAATGAACCAGCGGTAATCTGTATAAAAGGTTACGGTTCATACATATTTCCTCCTGGTAAATCATAATCATTATCATATTTAAATTCGTATTTAATACGTATTATATATTTCAAATGAAAGATATAATAGTATTTTTAATTATAAATGATGGTATCAGGGGCAAATTCAACTGGAATCGGATCTTATTTGTGCATGCATAATATACTAAAAGCGCATGCCAAGGTATATCATATGTACGACAAAGAATTCAGACCTCAACAAAAAGGATTAATTTCTATCGCCTTATCGAGTTTAACGCTTTATGCCAAGCATAAAAATGATACAATAGCCGAGGACATAGGTTTTCAATTTTTGTGTGGTTGGTCAGCTCATCCAATTTATTCGAAAACCGGTGATTATCCAGAAATCATGAAAAAACGTATTGGAGAGAATAGTAGGGTTCAAGGATATTTGAAATCAAGATTGCCGACATTCACACCGGAATGGATTAATTATATACGGTAGATATGTATACATATATATATACATGCATATTTATGATTGATTTTCATTGATAAATGATTTAGCAATTATTCAATACTAAAATGTGCGATAACACAAGCTTCGATATACTTTTTTAATGTAGCGGAACTTCAGACTTTTTTGCCTTAAATCACTATACATCTAGTCTCGTTGAAAGTGTACCGAAGGGACCGGACGATCTCTGGTACGAAGACAAAGGATTTAAATTAAGCTTCGATCCAAAATGGCCATCTACTCCTTCGTCATGGATAAAGGTCAGCTATATAAAAGATAATTTTTTAAACGTTAACTTTCAAAATTAACTTACAATCGTAAAAAGATATATTTTCGTGCAAATTCATCTAATTCGATTAACACATAAAAACTTTTTACATTTTTTCTATTCTTTTTTCTACCTTTTTATTTTCTTTTGGGTTACTCCCGACATACATCGCGTGCAATTAAGTGTATCGGTTATTCGAAGCTTCTTCTTATGAATAATTTACATAGTAAGTGTATAATTCATGAGTGATGTTAAAGCCTGTGAAAGAACGCACGAAGCTCGATCATGATCGCTAGCTTATAATAAGCACGATTTTCATAAACTTACACTTACACTTAATCGATTCTTTGTTAAGCAATGTGAGTATATTCAATAATAAGAAAATCGATATTTCGGAGGGAAATCCTTGAAAATCAATTGAGTCCTTTTTAATAGATATATTTGTTCTGATAGCAAACTTGATGATTTGTATGATATTAGACAATGGTTTTATAGCGTCACAATAGTAATAGTTGTTTTTTGATAAGTTTATCGAATATTTAATGAATTTTCTCTGTCTAACAAAATGAAAATATAAAAGTAATTACGCAAATATTCGTGCTTCAAAAACACCTCGACAGTCCCGTTGTTGTTCAATGTTTATTTTCTACCATATCAATTAAAAATTTCAATGAATATTGCAATAAAATTTTATCGAATAGGAGACTACTAATTTTTTTTTAAAAGTTAGTTATAATGAATGTAAAATACTACATTGTGTAAACGTAATTCAATATGATTTATTATAGTATCTTGAATATGCAATATCTACTATAATAGAAGTCTAACATTTTGTTTGTAGTTAGTTCCTGAAGGATTTAGAAAGATTATTAACATAATAAAAAATGAATATGACAATCCACCGATTCTTATTACGGAAAATGGTGTTTCTGACAACAACACTTTGATGGATTATATAAGAATTGAATATATTTCTAAATATCTTAAATCTATGTTACAAGCTATATATGAAGATGGTTGTAATGTCTTTGGTTACACAATTTGGAGTTTATTGGATAATTTTGAATGGACTAATGGCTACACGTAATATTTATTTAAATATTTTTATAACTAAAATTTAAAATAATTTATTTATTTAAATTATGTTCAAATACGTTTGATGACAATATTTCTTTATTTCCAGTGAAAAATTTGGTATTGTACAAGTTGATTTCTCGTCTCCGAATAGAACGAGAACTCCCAAAATGTCAATGGAATGGTATAAAAATCTAATCAAAGAACGAAAAATAACTAATTATACAATGAATAAGAATTAATTCGACGTCGTAATTGTTCTTTAAAATTAAATTTATCTATGATAATTTAGAATGCATAGGCATATCAATTTGGCATGATTTATTTCCTCTATCTATGCATCAGTATACATCTTCATGAGTGATTGATTGTTAAAGATAAAAATCTGCTTTTAGAGAAAGATCGATTAGCGTTTGAATCGAAATTTAAGTTGAATTAAAATTCCAATTCAAAGAAATTCTCAACATTTAATTATATTTGATTTACTATTTAATATCTATTACGTTTGGATTTATAAATAAATCAATACATATCGAACACGATTAAATAAATTTCGGCTAGTTTACATGAGCGTTCATTTGTCGACAGTATTGTCTTCATCCAAGTACATTATACGATCATTTGGAAGCGACAAAAGGGAGCGTAGACAGCAAACTTCGTTAGTCGACTCGGAAACGAAATTCCTGTCTTCGTTCTTCGATGAAAACAGGAAAGTGGAAGAGGAAGAGGATGAAACAAAAAAGATTTAATCTTCTTCCTCGTATTCGGAAGAAGTACGTTTCAAATCGAGTCGAGACCGATTCTCCGATTAATGGAGGAAATGTTTAACAAATTGAACGATGACTCTTTCTAACTTTCCAACTTTTTCCGTGATCTCTTCAAAGTTTTTTTCTAAATACTATCGTTATTCGTATAATAAATATCCAAGATACGATGTAGAATTTAAATGTAGAAATTCAATTGATTTGGATTCATTGATTTATATGTATCTTGATATTTTACCATATATAATCTTTCTATAAAAAAGAAATAAAAATAAATAAAAGTAATAATTTTCTGATTTGTTATCATTGTTAAATCAAATATCACTTTCGTATGTATGAGGACTGCGTGGATTATCAAGAACCATTAACCATTTTTTCTTTACAAATTTAATAAAAATTTGGATGTACATTGAAAGCATTACAAATTATTTATTACTTTGTGCGATAACTGTAAAAATTGTTTAATTGCTTGAAAATTAGCTTACTAATGATAACCAGAATTATATAAATAAATATAAAATATCTTTTAGATGCGTTGGTTATGGATACAATACGATAATGATAGTCGCTAATTAAAATAGATCATTTAATGTATTAACTATAAAAATGATTAAATAAAGAAGAAGTTAAATGGCATGACGAATCAATAAAAGAAATGCTTGAATTCATGAGAAATAATGGTAAAATGAATCTCAGTAGCACGGAATAAGGAGTTAAACAAAAGCTTTCTATAGAAATACAAGAAAGAAAGAGGGTATATTTCGTTTATATAGTTTTCCTGTTGCAGTTGTAGCTGGCAGATAAGAAAAAAGGGAAGGAAGAAAAGGGTTTAGAAAATAACAGATCGTGCTTCGGCGAGCAAAATCTCGCGTAATTATCTTGGGTAATGGTGTACGCGTATCCATATCACGTTCGTCGATGCCTCGGGCGACAGCTACAAAATCGCTTCACCGTTAAAAAACGTACCACATAAAAGTATGGTACTTATGATTCCACCGATTTTATACGAGATATACCACACAAAATCTATAAATACTCAAATTTGTTTCATTTATTAATCTCGATAATAAAAAAAAAAAAAAAAACAAAAAAAGAAATAGACCATTTTATTTATCTCTCAAGATGAACCAAAATTATTTCAAATAGACGTAAGATTTGAATATGAAAATGATTTTATATCAATTTTAATGAACTCATCGAATATGAGCAAGTGTCCCCTTTTGCACGTTCACATTTTTTTTCTTCGTCCATTAAAAAATGGATGCTTTTATCATCGCTTTAAAATTGAATTATCTTTCTACGATCTAATAATCAAATTATAGGCCGTTCCATTTATCCATGGTTACCGAAAACGAATTGGATATCCGCAATTCTATACCTCTGTAAATCAACTGACCGCATCATGTGCACCACATAAATGAAATCAACGTTGAATGTACAGTAATTATTTGTCATGTCTATTTATTTACTCGATCGTATCCAGCCTGGCCGATTTCGCATAGCGATGTCCATTGGTGTGAGGAATAAGATCGATCGTATGAAAATATTCGTTAGCAGGAAATCTTTTCAAGAGACGATGACAAAAAGTTGGACTTGTCGTATTAATCATTGTCAATCTGATCGAAATAATATCATGAACTCTTTCTCGAAGCATAACTTTTCGTTTTAGATCAAATCGAATTAAAGTTGCTATTTGTCTACCGCAAAAGCAAACAAGAAGATGAAGAAGGAAAAAAAGAATACAAAAAAAAAGAGGAAAATAAAGAAGAAGAAGACACAATCATCTTTGCTTGCAGTAATTGTGAAACTTTTTCCATAACGACACGCGAACACGAACAACAGGCGTTTAAATTGCACTGAACGAAATCACTGTAGGTATAGCTTTAGTTCTTTCCTCTTTATCACTTTATCATTCATTCTCTCTCTCTCTCTGTCTCTCTCTTTCTATCTTTCTTTCTTTCTTAATTTCCTCTCTATTTTCCTCTTTCCAAACGTACTTTCACAGTACTTTCAGTTACCATTTTATTTGCGATCTTCCAGTTGATCTTCGCGACAAATAACTTTCGCACCATTATCGGCTTGTGACATTGTGAGCTCTTTAAAGGTTTTCATCTTTTTCGAGATGGATTTAAAGAGATGAGAAAGGGTAGAGAGGGAAAAGAAAATTCTGTCTGGCGAAAAAACGATTAAATCCTTCTAGAAGGTGAATTTCAAGTGAAGGGAACCTTCGACCAGAAAGAAGAGTACCCCTTATATCTTCTATTCTCTCTTTGGTCTCGATGTGTTCTTCTATCTCATTCTTTCTCTATCTTTCGTTCTTCCTTTCTGATAACCTCTCGGGGATGCTACGTCAAGAATAAAAAAGGATTTCTACCGATAATGGCACAGGAGCTCGTGGCGAAAAGATAAAGTAAACGGCGCGGACATTGGAAATCTTTTGATACGCCTCTTCGTTTCCCCGTTGCTGTCACATCGTAAACTCTTCGATGCCAGAGTTACGACGATCTCCCTCGCGTCTTCCTACATCGTTTCTACTTTTACTTACACTTTTTCTTCTTTCTGTCTTTCTCTCTTTCTCCGTCTCCTTACCTTTCTTTAGAAAATTTTATCGAAGAGGTTAGATTGTTTTCGAAGCGTAATCCACGATGATAAATTGGAAAAATAAATTTTATATGTACAAAAAGATTTCATCGTTTTACCTTTCACTATGTTTATATTTATCTTTAATATACAAATTCCCTTTTGACACAAAGAAACGTTGTAAATAATTTTGCAGTCCAATTTGATGGCGTAATTCATTTGATGTTATCGATTTAAATCATTTGCTTCTTTTTAATGAAAGTTTTAAATGATAAATTAAGAAAATCTATATTGTTTCTTATTTCTTCATGCTAATCATTTTCTTTTATCATTCAATAGGTAGTTGATAATTGCATGCAATAAGGTATAATTTTACTGCAATCGTTAAACATGGTAATAAAAATAATGAGTATTCCATTTTTTTCAAACTCATCAACATTTTATTATGCTTAATTCATGTACAGTGAAATACTGATAGGTTTTATCAATTATTCATTAGTAGTTCAAATAATTATTCTTATGAGTTATATTTGACAATCATAATTTTCATAATCATGACTAGTCAACTTTATCGCGAAATATTTTTGTAATTTTATCATTTTTTTTATGATTACGATATGCGAATGGTAATAATTTAGTGCAAAAATATATCAATATATCAATGCTTCAAATATAATCGTCCTTTTCGCATAGTTGCAATGGCCTCGTTTTTCCCGATACGTCGTGTCTCATGAAATTTCTATGCGATCGATAAACCGACGTAACGTTATCAACGTTGTTGGCGCTTGCGTATGATAAAAGAATTTTCATCAAATTTATTAAAATAAAAATGACATGTAATCGAATAAATGGATACCGAGGGAAACGGTGAAATCTTTTACCTATGCTAATTTCTCTTTCGATATTATCTTATCTGCTTATGTCTCTTTTCCTTTTTGTCGTCTTATCTGTAAGCTGCTCGAAATTCATAAATCTTATCTTAATTTATCAATTATGTTTGTTTAATTAATTCTCTTTTTTTAAATTCTTTTCTTTCTTCATCAAAGTTATGTAATATTTTATAATAAATATGAATATTTTATAAGTGACGTATAAATTAAGAAGAACGATGGTAAACAAAGTAACAGATAAGAAAGCAATTACATCAGTATTATATCTTTGGTACCAAGGTTCATCGACAATACTAGAACGGAGATGAGGTGCTCCTTTATGACGAATGACATATTCTGTCCACCAAATTATCCGTTCCATTGAGTTATACGGTTTATCTTTAGTGAGATTCTTCAGTTTCAACATATTTTCTTTATAACTAAAAAATACAAATTATTAAGTTGGTTAATTTTATACTTACTATAAGAAAAATTTCATGTAAATTTGTCTCATCTTCAGGAGACTTGTGTGATAATTATGATTTTACCTTTTGTTATTTAAGGTGTCCATAATTGCTTCGTTTAAGGATTCTCTCGTTATTTGTAAAATATCGACGCTCCTACATGTCCCTAAACTTTCCATTTTAATAACTTGCATATCTTGATCGGCTATTATTGGTATTCCAACAAGGGGTACACCAAAGTGTATAGCTTCTTCCGTACTTTGAAGTCCGCCTTGATAAACGAACAGCTTCAAATTCGGATGTGCTGCATTTTTATTTTGTAATGCATAAAATAGAAACATATACATATACATGCCTATTACAAGTGAAAATATTGAAGAAACACAGAAATTCTAAGATATATTACCTAGAATTGCTTGTTGTGGAAACCATTCAGCGATATATATATTTTCAGGTATTTTTAAGAAATTTCCTTTGAATTTCCACACAACCTTAATCGGTAAATTTGAAAAAACATTTAAAAATATATCCATTAATTTTTTCGGAAACATTGACGAATGTACGTTTGTTCCAAGGCTCACATAAATGAAGCCATTCGATCCGTTATCTATGAATTCTTTTAATCCCTATAAAAATTATTATCAATATTACATCTGATTTAAAAGTGGATACGAAAAAGAGAAATTTTCTATGCGAAAGTAGAGAAAAAAAGTATAGGATGTATCATACAAAAAATTACCTTTGGTAAAGGTTTATTTGAAGCATTACTTGCTATATGTAAACCACTAAAATTTATAATATTGGCCATGTTTGGTCTGGTAAATGAAATTTCTTCTTGGTAATTCATAAATATAATACTAATGTTCTTTTCTAATTCTCTAATGGAAGGTATATTACCTAAATATTTTTCTGCAATTTTTTGTTGCGGTTTATAAAGTTTATTGTTACAAGTTACATGTATATACCACCACGTTAAGACGAAATTCTGTACTCTTTTCCAGAAGGGTACATTCAAACCAATACCTATATTTAATTCATAGGATGAAGGGTGAGACGGTATTACTGGATTACCCATAATAAAATGATTCTGTTGTAAAAGCCCGGATGATGTAACACCTATAAATATATTAAACAATTATCAGAACCTACTAAACATAAAATGAAATAAAGATCCGGGACAAGATTAGTTTCGAAACCTTTTTATAATCCTTATTACAAGTTTTGAAATAAAAATAACAATAAATTTAAAAGTTGATAGTAGAAACATAACAGGAATTATTTTGCAGGAATCATTCATATCTTAAAAATATTTATTATGGAAATAATCAAGCATAGATACGATTTAAATTGTTAAAGAAAATAATTTAGTTGTTTTTTAATCATTTATAATAACATATTAATTATTTCTTTTCCTTTTTGTTGATTAATAAACTCGTATTTAATCATTGCTACATAATTTTCTTTTGATCTAAAACTTTTCTTATGCTTACCTATCAAAGGAGCTTTGAATCTGTGTCCTAAAGCTGAAAAAGCTGGCGTCCAGATTATTTCGACCATAACAAGATCAAATTTTTCATAGCTATCAGGCGCGTAGATTTTTTTAAAGTCAGGATGCTCGAAAGTAAGTATGCAAAGCTTTTCTGTTATTTCCAATAACATAACCCCGATAATTTCCAGCCATGAGTATTCATGTCTTGTTTCAAGAAAATTCAGCGATTTTTTAAGTTGATAAGTATGACTAATGTCGATCTGTGTAAAATTTTTCAAATTTCTATCAGGTAATAGATCTGTAGTTACTAAGGTAATATGGTGACCTCGTAAGTTTAAATTTCTAAAAATAGAATGATAGACTATTTGATGACTGTAAGAAGGGGTCGGCATAATAGCCAAAATTCTTGCACTGCTGGTAAATCCTATGTTATGAATCAAAAGAACTGTCACTGTAGTAGCGATTAATGATACCATGATGAATTTTCTTTTTTTCAATTCTTAAAGCAACACACGACAATGCACTCAGAGAAGAATAACAAAACTAAAGAATTATCCGAATGAAACAGTACAGGATAAACCCACAGATAAGAACAACGGTTCTCTAATTGCGTTACGTACTACTTATTACACTTATTTACAATAAGAAATCCATCCTAATGTCATTCCGTTTTTCCTTGTTCTATATACATAAATATATATGTTAAGCAGTCATAATATAAATGAGTGTAAGACTGCTTAATTGCTAAAAGAAAGATATGCTAGCTCCGCCCATCCCCACTTTTGATGCTCTCAAATATAGAATAGAATTTGATAACCCTTAACGAACGAGCATTTCCTTAAACAATTGATAATGTCGCGAGTATTGCGACATTCGTTCGCTAAAGGTTAAATAACTTTTTATAATTTCAAATGTATGATATTGGAATGTCCACGTGAATGTTTTATTGCTATACTATACTATACTCTACTTTGACGTACTCTGTTCTATTTCTATGATATACATATATCAGATTAATAAATTTGATATTTTCTACTAATAAGAAAAATATGTATAGTATAAGATTACATCAAACAAAAGTAGGACAGCGGCCGGCCGCCATTCCAACCAATGAGGCTTGCATTCCCAGCAGATTTATTTTCGGCATAACTGTTGTGTTTTGCAGCGAAGAACGCTCCTAAAAGGAATTTAGCTTTAATTAGTTGAAATATTGCTACTATCTTATTTTTATTTGGTCTAATTTTATATCACGCGGCATAAAGAATAATTTTTATAATACTAATTCAATATATTTAATAAAAAAGGAAAATGTGAAACTTAGAAATTGTCAATAAAATGGGTAGAGACATAAATTATTAAAGTTTTTTAAATGTTCTTATTGAGGATTGACCTGGGCTTGTAACCATGTCTATCGTGAATATGGAGATCACATAATTATGTAAAAATGTGTATCTTTAAAATGTCAAAAATATGAACAAACAAATATTTCCTCTAGTCACGTGTAATTCTAAAATGCTTTATATAATTTATGCTTTAAAAACAATAGAGGTAATATAAAAATGAATTAGTTGATGACCTCATTGAGTCAAAAAACGGAAAATATTTTATTTTTTGAATTCGTGTAATTTTGTCATTATTTAACGTTTGTTTCATAGAGAATACAAAGACATTTAAACCAATTCTTTTAAAATATATTTCCAAACGCAAATAAAAGTTTTCTTCTTAAGTTGGAAAATTACTTATTGAATACTTATATGTGATAGTATTGCATAATCACATCTACGGAATTATTTATATAACAACTCTATGCCCTGACTAATTTAACAATTATTAACTTTGTTTATAATTCCTTTTAACCCATTTAAATCCAGATACGAGAGTGACTAAATTCATAAATCAGAGTCACTTAACTGCTAGTCAGCTCATTATATTGCGCATTTTATTTTATGTTAAAAAATTCAAATGTTTTTAAATGTTAATTTTTTTCTAAAAATATTAAGCAAGCATTACCGATGAACCAAACAAGAATATTTGAACAACATTTAAAAAGGTAATATTTTCTAGTAATGATGTAGTATATATAATAACGTATAATTATATTGCGTGTGGGTGTTATACTTACAAAGTATATTAACTATTCAACATCATATTTATTATAGACAAAAAATATACGTGAATTTTTTTCTTTAAATTCTTAAGATTAAAATACGTCCACGGTTTATTTGTACGAAAACACGGCAGGCTATCTAAAGTGAAATTGTTTTTCGGGTTAAAAAGTGAAATTCGTTTAAACGATAATAGTTGGTGGTTCTCTTGAATCGGGAGCGTGTTCAACGAAGCAGACGAAACGAAGAAATTCTGACGAAATAGAAATAGAAGAAATGCTATAATGCTTCTCTATTTTCATATCCTCCTGTTTGTTTTTCACATTTAATTTTTGTCTGCCAACGTTAAAAGGTCGCGTTTTCTACTTGGTTTGAATTTCAAATAAATAGAGTAAACATTTTTATTTTTCTACATGCATAAAAAATGAAAAATAAATAACTTAAATTTATCTGTATTTCAAAATTAATTTTCTCCTATATATATATATAAAAATACGTTCATTAAAATTATCATGTATCATTAATATATAAAAATTATTACCAAATTTTCATTATCACAAAATTCATTAATAGACATAACGCTGTGAGATAAATAATCCTTAATTGAATATTTAAACTAAAATTTGTCGATGCCGAATTACGTAGAGATTTTCAAATAGATGATAAGAGAGATGTTGAAAAAGGAGGTGGAAGATGCAGTAGATTTCTCTGAAGGAATAGGAAGAGGAAGGAAAAAGGAACGATAGTGAAGCGGAGAATCGGAAAATTTGTCGATGCACGTGCACTAAAAGAGAATTCTATGAAAGCAAACATTTGCCGGTGAATTCGCACCCACGCATTCGCGTGCGTTTCTGGGTCGGTAGGATTGGCAAACAGTTGTTCCGATTTCTCGGGAAGAGCCAAATACAAGGGCCTCTTCCGGTTTTGGATATTTCTACACTCCGCGTTGTATATAACATGCGAGTACGAGTGCAGAAAGAAAAATATGTAGAAGAAAAAGAAAGATATAAAGAAAGAAAGAAAGAAAGAAAGAAAGAAAGAAAAGTTTCGTACGATATATGTAGCTCAAAGTCTTTGGTACTTTGCCAAAGTGCTATCGATCTTTCCGTTTTCATATCACCGAAGAAATCATGGAGAAACGCTTATACGTGAAAAATCTGAAAGGTACATCTAGGAAAGGTCACGTATAAGAGCGTGCATGCGTGGGAGTGAGAGGAAACGGAAGCAACTTAAACAAAAAAGAAAAAAAAAATAAAGAAAGGAAGGAAGGAAGGAAGGAAGGAAGGAAACGGCATCGTGCGTGCGCAAATCTTAGCGACGAGGAAACATTGAATCGATCGTGCTCGCCCAATGGCACTTCCGCTGCGATTTGCTCACTCAAGCGAGACATCTTTGAAATCTTGCATTCTCTTCCTTTTGTCCTTCCTTCTCCTTCTCTTCTTCCTTCTTCAGGGTACCTTACAAACAGTTTCTACGTCGCGGTAAATTTTCTGGCATGGATTTCCCTTTTGTTTCCCAAGAGATAAACGAAGATATACCGATAAATTTCTAAGAAGTATCTAAGCATTGAACGCGTGAATAATTCACGATCCAATCTTAATGATATTTTCTGCATCATAGAATTATTCGAATATAATTAATTTCATTATTACGATCAATTAAAATAGAAATTAATGACATAAAGCTTTCAGTTATTAACCATAATATGTATATAATATGATTCCGATAAAGCACAAGTCAAAGAAATTAATATGAATTGAATGAATCAATGAGCATGATAGAATAAACTGTTGTAATAATTTATATCTAATTGTATACGTATCTCTATTTTTGTCCATTCCTCATTTTGTTTTCTTAGATAGAATGAAATTGAGTTTGACTTGCCTAATACCACTTTAAATCATAGACTTTATCAAGAGACAGGAATTACAACTGCCGAACAATTTCGACGTTATCGAAGCGTCGTAATTTTGTTAATAGGACCTAAGTTCGATGATAACAGTTGAGACAGTTCACAGCCGAAAGAGATTGGTCTTACTATACTTTATCTTTTTCTGTTTCCTTCTTTTTCTCATCCCAATAACATCTACAAGAACATATATATAAATGTAATAATAATAAAATGAAAACATTAATCTTTTTTCATGTAAGCTATGGCCGAGAAAATTACCAACATACCCAAGAAAAGAACGTCGAATAAACGAGAAAAGAAAATCAATCAGAATCCTAACAACGAACTACTCAACCCTTAGTCTTGCGTATAAACCCTTTTCTTCTGTACCCGGAACTAACAGAAAGTATTTATGACTACCATTCATTCGTCGAACATCGCGAGGATGTTATCCGTAAATTGCTTTAAACGTGTAATGGCTCGCTCCACTTTCATGGTTTTAACATTTCCCCTTTTCTTTTTCTCCCTCCGTGTACCTTTTGTCTTCTCCTTCTCAACTAGTCCCTTGAAAATAAATTCGCGAATAGTTTGCTATAATAAAAAAGACGAAATTTATTTGGCGATGGCACTGCACGTTGCGTGACTCTTCGCGACTACGACGACGATGACTACGACGACGACGAGGAACACAAATAGAAAGGAGAGAGATAAACGAAAGAGTTTTTCGCGTTTCCCCTCGTCGAACGAGAATACGAAAGAGAATTCAAAGTTAATTTGACGGAGAATACGTCGTCATACCTGATGCTTCCATCGAAACGGATCTGCTTCTCATGTTACGTTTCTTCCGCAATCTACGAAGGAAGTATATGCGAGAGTTGGAAGGTGAATGAGAAGAAAAAGAGAAAGCAAGAGAGAAAGAGAAAAAGAGAGAAAAGACATGTCGTATTAGGAGAGTAGAATTCCAAGCATCTCCATGGTAATGGCGGAACTCGATTATCCGTCGTAGTCCGTGACATACGGAAGTAAATCAAGACAGAAAGAGAGACGTAGATTAATGTAACCATTTAAAGTCCGTATGCGGAATCAAGCATAAGAGCGAGTACAATTCTTATTGTTAGTTCTACGCTTCGTAACTTTCTAAATCTTGTCACTTCTCATTCTTCTCCTATTACTTTTCGTTTTCTCTTTCATGTTCCATTTAAATTGCAAGAATTTTTGTATTAGCGAAATTCAAATAAATTACTGGCAAAATAACTTACCGAATTATTCTGAGACGAATAATTGTAATAAAGAAAATATATATTTATATATTGTTTCGTGTAATAATACTTATCTATTTTTTTAAGTTACCGAGAATTGAAAATTTCGTATGTTATTCAATTTTAAAAATAGTTATTTGATAGAAGATCAAATGGCTATCAACCATAACACGTGATATTCGTTTCAGACATTCAAAAAATTTAAAACGGTATGTATGGTT